GCGTTGGGCGCCGCTCACATGCGATCCAAAGCCGCTCCTGTCGAAGCTTAGTGTTTGATATTCTAATAATTATTATTGTTATATTTTGAAAAAAAAAATTATAAAAAATATTTTTAATTAAGATTGGTTTAAAAAAATATAAATTTAATTAAAATTAAAATTAAATAAAAAATAATAAATAATAAATGTGTTTAGTTAAATTATAAAATAACTAAAAAAACTTATTAATATTGATAGTTTTTAATTAAAATAGTATATATTTAAGTATTGCTATTATATCATGAAATAAATAATATTTTATATTAAGTATTTTTTATTATTTTATTAAATTATTTGCAATTCTATCATGGATAAAATTCATTCGGCAAAAAATATAATTTTAAATATCATAAAAACCTATTCATAATTACCATCTAATTTCAAACATATAATTCAAAATCGATTATTTTTTTATATATATAATAAAACTAATTAATTATTAATATCTTTTTATTTTAAAAATTATTTATTTATTCTCTATGTATTTTCTTGGAAATGAATTAAAAATTAAAAAATGTTTTTTATAAATAATACATAAAATAAATTATTTTTTTAAATAAATTTTATATAAGAAATATATCTCTTTTCCAAGGCTATCATAATTTTTTTCTAAAATCATAATAACAATTTGTTATCATTATACTTATTTAATATTAAAATATCATAAGAAAACAATTACATCAACTAATTTAGACTTGTCATAGAAGCATAACCATCATAGAAATCTCCGCATTTGAAAGCATCTTTCTTTATTTTCATTCTCTACTTTTCATGAGCAGCCACGACAAAAGCAAGATAGACTTGCTTGTACTATTCCTGCGTTTGGAATACATATTTGTATGGGATTCATGTATTAAAAAATATGATCCGCTATTAACTAAATATATTGTTAATTGTTGACGCAGCTAAACATGTATACATCTACATAACCAAACAGAGTTTTACAATCATATCATGGGTCTCTCTGTATTGCATAGTCTCGGTGACAAATGTATTCTACTTTTATTTTATGTTATATAAAAAACAATAATCTAGTGCTTTCTATTTAAATGTATTGCTATAATATACATTGTTGCAAAATTGTTAGTAGGTGTGATTATAATTATTTTTCAAAATATTTTTTATATTGAAATATATCTAGATAATATTTTTTATTTTAAAAAATTTATTTTTGAGATTAGTTTATTAAAACAATTCAAAACATAAAAAAAAAATTAATAAAAAAAATTAAATTTTAAAAAAAATCGATTAAATCAATTAAAATTTTGAAAAAACTAACTAATTTAGTTTGATTTTAGTTTTATAAGACTGGATAAAAAAAAACTAAATCAAACCAAACCAAACTAAAACTGAAAAATGAATAAAAATTGAGCTAAACCTAAAAAAATTGAGTCAAACCAAAAAATCAAGCCAAACAAGAAAAACTAAAAAAATCATGTTAAATCAATTTGAACTGTTTTTTCCTAAAACCGAATAGAACCGAACCAAAACCGGTCCGTTTAAACTAGTTTTGGTTTTGTTTTGGTTTTTTTAAAAAAATTAATTTGGTTAATTTTTTATAAAAACCAACCAAATGAAAAATAATTATTTTTAAAATTTATTAAAATTTTTATGATATTTTTACAATGTTTTCGAGTTAAAAAAGGTTAAAATTTGGTTTTTAAGAGCTGAAAAACTCTGATCCTAACTTTCCAAACTTCAAAGGTGGTTTGAAAGTCACTAAGACAACAATGAGTTGTCTGCATAAGTAGACAATACAATATCTCCTATTTTAAAAACAATAATTGGATAGATAATTTGTTATTCCTCCATTTAAAAAAATCAAGCATGCGAGTCTAGTTTTAGTTTTATGGACCCAAGCGCACTTAACTAGTTTTTCTGGGGCACTTGGACGGGAAGACGAGGCCTGAGTTTTTTTATATTTTTTTATTTTATATAAAAAGATATTTTAAATAAATTTTATAAAATAATATTTAAATAATTAAAGTTTTTTATGATAATATTATTTTTTTAAAATTAACGTGGATATACAGATAAATTTGCACACACCATACTTAATTTTATATAAATAACTAAAAATATGAGATTATAAAAAAAAAAAAAAAATTTAATTTTTAATTTTTATTATTTAACCATCACATAATTTTGATGATGGTATTATTAGTTTGAAAGGTGATGGCCAGCTATCAGCAGCTTATTGTCATTGACGGCGTACAGCTTATGGAGAGGAAAATCTTACTGAAGGGATTTTTAATTTTCGCCTTTGTGTTTGTATTAGGGAAGTTCTTGATCATATGGTCATGAAATCTTGAGGGGAACACATTTTTTCCCTCGTTTTGCACAAGCATTATGGGGTGAGTTCTTTTCAGTTTGAATCTTGATTCGTTCAATCTCAATGAACACTCAAGATGTTGTGGGTTCTTCAACTAGTTTCTGCAGTCCATGAGCAAAATTAATGCTTGTAGACGATCGATGGGAATTGTCGTGATCTTTATGTCATCCATCTACAGCTAGCTTTATACAGTGTGATATTAATCTACATATATTAGCAATGGATCGACAAAAGTAAGGCTTGAAACAGAGAGTTTCACCCTCATAATTAAGTTATCATTAACTAAACTTCATTTAATTTTTCTGGAGATTTGTTCAGCAACCTCAATGCAGTTTGCTCTGATGTTAGCTTCAAGTCCAAACTACCATATGCTCACCAGTCAAGAGGCGGCTCACTGTTCATCTTACTCTTAAACATGGAGGTCGGGCCTCTCACTATCCTCATAGTTTATTCTGAAATCGGGATTCTAGGCCGAATACCATATGATATTATGATTGTTTGAGTGAAGTCTCTGTGTTAATTCATGCCCAGATAGTTTGTGGACATTGAAGAACTTAATTGCTGTTCTCTAGGTGCTTAGATTCTGAAAACAACTGGTAAACTAATGATTGTAGGAAAAAAAAGAAAAGAATCGTTTGCAAGATTGCTTTGGAAGGCATCTCATTTCATATTAATTTCTTAGTTACATTACATAAGCCTCGATCTTAATCTCAATCTGGGAACAGAAACTACAGTGACAAATAGTGTTTTATAAGAACCGAAGTTACAGGAGAAGGTGGGAAAACTGACATCACAGAAGGTGATTAATTAGGCTTCAAGCTAGAAATCTTCTGTTTTCCTTTAATTAATAAGATTGTTTTCAAGGTAAAGTATGTTTAATGCCTGCCACTATTACCATTGCCAGAACCAATACCAGATCCCTGGCCGGCACCTGCACCAACTCCAACTCCAACTCCTATACCAACGCCAATTCCAACTCCAAATCCTCCACCACCAGCACCACCTCCTACACCTCCACCTACACCAAAGCCACCTCCATGGCCTGATCCTCCACCTACGCCTCCACCGCCTCCTCCTCCTCCACCAGCACCACCTCCAAGGCCACCACCGCCTCCTCCTCCTCCACCAGCACTACCTCCAGCTCCAAAGCCCCCGCCATGACCTGAACCACCACCAATACCACCACTACCTCCTGCTCCTCCCCCACCTCCACCAGCACCGCCTCCAAGACCACCACCTGCACCACCTCCTGCTCCGAAGCCCCCGCCAGGACCTGAACCACCATCACCTCCTCCTCCTCCACCACCTCCACCAGCACCGCCTCCAAGAGTGATAGCACTCGAATGAAGAACAATGCACAAGAAAAGTAGAAGCAAATAAACCCATTTTGAAGACACAGCCGCCATGAATGCAACTTTCTGTTTATGCCAAGATAAATTGCTAGCTAGCAACAAGCTTCTCTGCAATGTTTGCTTGCTTTGCTTGCAAGGAGAAACTCCTTTATATAGGGTTTATCCGGTGGCCAATTTGGCAAACCAACAATAGTCTAATGCACCATCATGATTGCAAGTCAAATACTTTCGAAGCCCAAAGGAAAAGCAAAGCAGCTAGCTAGAGTGTAGCAATAATATAATAACAATAACAAAAACCAATAAAATAAAATAAAATGTGGGGACCACTTTAGCAGCGCCTAGTGTTTTGTAGGAAAGCCCACTTGTTTTAGAGTTTTGTAGCTATGCTCGGCCGTTGATTAAATATTTTAATTTTGTTAAAACAAATTATTTAGGTTTTTTTAATATATTTTTGTAGTTAAAAAAACATAATAAATTAAAAAATATATTTTTTATAAAAATTATAGTTACGAAATCTGACTAGAGGGTTGATCCGACCAAGAAATCAGGTTCAAAATTGCATGGATTGACTTGGATCATACCAAATAAATTGAAAAAAATATTTGAAATTTTAATATTTGAAATTAAAAAATAAAAACACAATTCATGTGGATTAATGTTATACACATTGCAAAAAATTAAGT